TGATTGATTGATTGGAGACTTCCGGGGTGGTGCCATTGGCAATGGCGGATTCCCTCTGAACTGGAGGGACCAGCTCCACGGGAATCGGGTTTTTTCCGCTACGGCGAAGTGGGGACCCATTCAAAAATCACAGGCGGATGAAGCCTGTGACCATGGGACTCGGCGGGCACCTTTAGTGCCCCCCCAACCCACAAAGGAACCCACTAACGGGCTCCGGAGCGAAGAGGGGGAAGTGGCGCGGTGCTGAGAGTCAACTGCTTCTTCCGTGGAGCGAAGCCGCACAGCCATTGCCGGAGAGTGCTGCCTTTTTCCTGGGACAATTTGGCTTTTAAAACAACCACCCGTGAGTACTTAAGTTTCGGACAATTGGACTCTAAATAAGGATTTGCGAGCAGAAAGGAAAACTGGACTTAAAAGTTTAATTTAATTTGGCACTGAAACGGGAAGGTCTAAACAGGAAGTCAGCCTTCCGTTTCTTTGTAGATAGATTAAAGCAAAGACACTGCAAACTAAAGTTCTGAAAATCGCTTCTAAAGGATTAACTTTCATCATTTAAAATTGTGGAACCCCCCTTCGGAAGCAGGAGAAGAGGGGGATTTTTCTGGACTGTTTAAACCTGCAGAAGTGAGTGTAAAGTAAAGTAACTTTCCACCGTCTTGATCCTGGAGCGGGGTGTCAGGACTGACATTCTTTGAAGCTCATTGGCCAGAGACAAACATTTTTGACAGATAGCTAAAGGAAGAGATACATAGTGATTCCAATGTTCTCCTTCGCATTTTAAAGGAACAAATATTGACAAAATATCTGAAAAAGGAAACTTTGTTGTTAGATTTGTTTTTAAAAGAAAAGAACAAGCAGAAGTTTTTCCCCTAGAGGGAGCCTGTGAAACTGTAACCAATTTTGAATTGGGAAGCTCGCAGCTGTTACTGATTACGATCGTGGGAATAGACTTCTGACCTTGCAGGACAATGTATTCAGAAGCTCTGTTGAGTGCTTTCTGCAAAACAAGTGCCCTACTGGAACAGCTACATGAGAAGACGGATTTTATGACTGATGCGATTAGAAATTTTGAACAGGCAGTGGGATATTATATAGAGCCCACCCAGGAATCAGATCAGGAGTGTGCCCTGACAGAACAGATGAGGGAAGAGGATGTTGCTGAATCTTGGGCGCCAGAGATGGAGGGAGCTGCGGCCCAGCAGGAACATGAATTCTTGGATTTGACAAATGAACTTGGAAAAAGCCAGATTTGGAAAGATAAAGTTTGGTTTGGTTTGGAAATGGGGGGTTGGATAGACCCCCCTATGCAGGGAGGTTTGGACTTTTCAAGTCTGGCAATGGGCCGTGAGATGTTTGGGGTTGTGGGGGCTCTCAATTTTGGAGGGACTTTGAAACATGTTCTTAAATACCACATGGAGCTTAGTGGGGACTATGGAAAAGGGGCTGATTTGTCGAGAAGGGTCAAAAGCATTGTCAAGCTGGAGTTCCCAAGAGTGAAAGAAGTAGGAGATAAAGGAAAATATAGCTATAAATATGAAGAAGAGCTGCGGAAGGGACATGGAAGAGACTTAAGGGCCTCGGACATAAGGTTACCAGGTTAATGCGCTAGATTGATGGGATAGAAAGGACTGACAAAACCCGGGTCCAGGAGGAAGAGACGCTGGATGAAGATTGGATTGTTATTTCTTTTATTATGATTGTTTTACAAAATTGATGAATGTTAGAAAAATGTTGGAACGAAATTATTTGGCTTTAGCAAAAATGTTTAAAGAATTATGTAAGAATATTATGGTTATGAGAAATTGGTAAAAATAAGATTTAAGTTTTAAGTTTTAAGGTTTTCATAGTAAGATAAGATTAAAATAGATTAAGGTAAACTAATGACAGAATATTATGAAATATGGAAAGGATTTGCTGTGACAATTAATAATCAGGATACAAAAAAAGGGAGGAGGAGGTCAAAGAAAGAAGGTAATGACAGTTAAAGATATGAGAATATTGGATTTGTTTTTAAA